AGGCGGTAATGAAAGCCTGAAACGCCAATCCTGAGAATTTTATCCAGTTGCGTACTCAAATTGTAAGTAAGGCTGCCAACCATTGAAGCGATGAACCTAAGAGACTCACCAGACTTGCCAGGTGACGTGGTTTCGGCGCGCTTCAGGTGTCAGCCATGGGGGTCAAACTGTTTGCAATGTTTCCATTGAGCTTGTCATCCAAGAACAGCGGATGTAAAGCATTCTTAAGCAGATTCCTGATCTTTGGGAATGTGTTGGCGTTTTTCCGCTTGTTTTGGTAGATGGCTCAGATTATAAATATTCCTTAATTTTTCGAAGGTAGTCCTTTTTAGCATAACAACCGACTTTGATCCTTTGTCGGCTGATAGTAAGATCAGGTTTCTTTGCTTGATCTTTTTTCTAACACTTTTCAATTTTTCCAGATGATGCACGGACAGATTTGATTGGCAGTTCTTGATTTTTTTCTGAATTATAAATCCGATTCCGCTCACAACCTCATGTCTGTTCTGTTTAATTTTCTCACTCGATTGATGAATACCTTTTTCAATGCCAGCTGTGAAATCAGAAATGTGTGCAGTTTTTAATGAGACAACCGATTTCGAATTCGATTAAGGACGATCACTTCTTTTTCCAATTCACTGAAAGTAATATTAGTAAGATTGATGACCAATAAATCATGAAAGATCTGATCTTGCAACATAACATATCCCCATTTTGTAGCTAACTTCGTAGAGCATCTAGCTTCTTAATATGACCTTGTTTGACTGCATCAGACGTTCAACGATCATTTTTCTTAATCGATAACTTACTGACTCAGCAATTTGTCGTTGTTTCGTATTCATTCCTTGATAATAACCGATGCATTTTGGTTGAAACGTTGGAATTGTAAATAAAGCTATTTTGTCTCGTTTTCTCTTGCTACCAACTATGGAATCAGCAGACCTGTCAACTCCTTGGACGATATTCAGACATTTGTTTCTCGACACTACACATTCTTTGTAGAAATCAGTGCCTCGTTGCTGTAATTTATTGCTTATATAACTATGCCGTTGTTTAATCCGATGAAGTATATGCTCTTAAATCTAGGTGAGTGGCCGGTTCGAAGATTCGGATCGATGTGGAAAGGTTTTGAAAACAGGAAAAAATGATCAAGCTTGTCCACTTTGCCGCTTGGGCCTCAAAATAAAATTTTCGGTATTAATCACATTATTTTTCTGTGTGCATCTTTGCTCTCTTAGGATGTTTTGATTCTCAGGCAGTTCATGCGGTCTGACGGCACCGTGTATCCTCGGGCTTTAACTGGTCTCTGTTCGAAACAGCAGTTTATCATTGAACGTTTAGTACAGCAAGCGCATTGGTCTGGTCTTTTTCCTAGCAATAAGCCTGCCGGCTATGACCCTAATGTAGAACGAAGTGGTTACAAAGCTTATAACCGCTATTGGGAAAAGGACAGCGACATGTATAACAGGCGGCTGACAACTTTGCCTGGAAGTTTTTATTATATACGACGTTATTAAAGTGTTTCTGTTTTCTGTGATTGTTGATTTGCCACGGCTACACTTCATGAATACATTCTTTGCTCGTGGCGAAAACGAAAGATGAATGTATGACGAATTGCGGTAACTGACCGCTTCAGGTGTTTAACTGTCATTTACGTCCGTCATGAACTTTAAGCTATCAGATAAAGATGTTATCATAACTTGAACTTGAGAGAGCTCCTTATACCTTCAAAGCATATGTGTCTTAAGATATACTTTGTATTAAAATCTGGATGGGAAAACGGGTTCATAGTCCGTATTAATCGTTAAAGAAAACAATCTTAAATATTTTCTTCCTACTGCCTACCTTCTGAGTAGTGGTTAGCAATCCATATGGAGGAAGAACGGAGGAACAACAAATGTTTGGTCGTACCAGTCTTATCTGGTGGATAGTTCAGCCAGTAGAAAGCCACACCACAAGCTTGAGACGTAGCCTGGTGATAGCACGTTTCATGACATTCTGACGGTTACCACTCTTGCAATCTTTTTACAAATGATCTTGGTTTAGTCACATAGCTACCATCTAAGTTGCACTCCATCTGTGTAGTCTTGAATTAAGTTTGACTCGTTTCAAAGATTTATTAACGTTCAAGTCGAGAAGTACTGCAATCAAGATAATATGAAAGATTTTTACAAGCGTTCGTTCCAAAAGGTAGAAGGCATGACAGCCGTATGAATGCAATGGTTTATCAGGAGATTTTCTTTCTGAGCCGTAACCACATCCTGTTTCATGATGTCTTGTCTTTATACGTACGATACCAGTCTCTTTTGGTAGGCTGTTTTGCAGGTTCTAACAAACCTCTGAGGTTTTATAGATTCAACTTCTTCTACCAACTCATCTTCTATTTAACTTACGTTGCGAAGAATAGAATTGGATCACCAAATCTTTACGGACATTGAATTCATGGAGAACAGTATCGATATCGAAGTAGGCAATGTTTATAAACTGACAAAATGAGCAAGGAACGGTTTACTCAGTCCATTGTATACATATCAAATACTAACGCGTAATATGTTTGTCTTTTACAAGCTTTGCATTGGTAAGGAAGCCTTTTCTGAGTGCAATCTAAGAAGAATCTTTAAAATGATTAGCAGCTGTGCATAAGTTTCATAACCCAGCCCACTTTGCCTGTTTTTTGCAATCCAGTTTACAAATTTATAAGTCATAAAATTATAAAGTGACGGATTTTATCCGGGGTGTGGTGGTCCAATGTGAAGAAGTCGACTTCGAAATGCTTCAGTGCATCCAATTGAAAAATCCATTAGCACAGTCGCTGAGTTGCGAACAACACAGACAGTATGGTGTTCCGGTGTGATTATGCCAAACTAAGCGATAGGTACGGTCGTGCTTTGTTTGGCGTGAGCGCCATTGGGGACTGCACTTCGCTTCGACCCGCCTGACAGCTGAGTATCCACTGCGATAATCAGCACAGGAAGTAAACCTTGTTGTTATTGTTAAAAATCATGCCTGTTGGTACGAAAAACATCTATGTTGTCACTGCTAACTCGTAACGATTCAATATTTACTGTTGTTTGAATCAGCAGTATGTAAACAGGAGACCGTCGAACAGTAACAGCGACAGGTCACAAGAAAGATTGCGAATTTTTAATATGGAAGACTGTCGTTCCTGCGGACTGGGCTTTCGGTTACTCATACAACTTTGATTTATCTGATTCTGTAGGTGTGCAACTCATCAACTTCACTCGTGACTTGTCGCAGATTTAGACATCACTTTTCTTATCACCATTTGCTATCGTTTCTTGCCCTCCGCATTGTCTGACATGATTGAAAGTCAGTCTTTACGCAAAGCTTCTTTTGGTTTATCGATGAGCGCAGTTCAGCTCCTCCAATCTTCGTTGTCGGTTCATCTCGATACTTTCTAACCATCAATTTTTCAGCAGCCTCTCGGTGTTTCTTTGAGTGTTGATAGGCGCTTGCTATCTCATCGTAGTGTATGATCGACGAGTAAAAGAATAACTCTGGTTCATTAGCCCCAGGTTTATGTTAATCCATTATTGATAGATTGATGACCACTTAGGACGTCCTTTATTATCTTAACATTGTGTAACATTTTCAACTAAAATGCGACAGCAAGAACGTTGCATCCATTCTTGTTGCTTCCATTCTTGCTCAGAATTAACGTTGCTGCTGCATGCATTATTACTGATCGATAAAGCAAGCGATTTGCATGGGATTTCACTGATCTGTTAAAAGCTCGTTTACACCGGTTCTGCTGCAGAATGTTACTGATTTTTATCTGTCTGATCCTTTCGTTAGCATCTGCTTCACAACTTTCGTCCCTTGTAGTTGTGGATTATAGATGGCAGAACTTATTGACTCGTTACATATCTGTCCCTTGAGTCTTCATGTTGCTGACATCCTCTGGGACATTCTGTAACGGATAGACTTTGCGTTCAATGGCTTTGGCTTTAGGCCGTACCTAGCTCTAGCTAGCAATTTGTATGCTCATCGGTGCCTCCCACTGGTCGCATGACACAGATGACCTCCCTCTTGTGCATCCTGGATTCGCTTTGTGCTGCCTAATATTGGGAACCTAGCCACAGACGCCTTGAAGGACAATACAAAATGCAGACACATTTCGTTGAATCATACCTATTTCTGAAATGAAATATGACCTTTTCCCCCAGCGGACAGCATTATTTAATAAGAATCTGAAGTACACGCTAATAATCAGACATCATAAATCTGGGCTACATAGCTGTTTAAGCTTTATTAACCTCAGATGATGAGGACAAAACGACAGCAACGACCAGATGTTCAAATATAATGCCGGAGATCGGATGTCAACAAATGATCAATATATCTGATCAGAGAGAAGTGACTACCTGCATTTCCAGCTGCTTTAACTACTGTCTCTATTTGTGTACAAAACAGTAAAATTAATGCCGTACATAAATCCTTCGTTTTTCTATCTGAGAGCTCATCCATCACCCTTGTATTAAAAATTTTTGCTTCTAATGGAAATCATTTTATATAAGAAATGTGCTTCAAATTGTTTTTGCTTTGTACTGCTTCGGCCTAATATGTTTTGTGACAAATGACGATTCTTAATTCAAAGAAATTGATCGACAAAATGTTTTTTTCACGATAACCTCATGTGTAAGAGCAAAAGTACAGGCAACCTGGTTTTATTAAGAATCCGCTGACCTACCTGGTTCCTACCAATCGATATCACAGAGTAGCATTTTTCTTTAGTAAATTTATTAGCGTTTATCTATTTTTTAGATTTTTCTGCTGATTTTGTCATACTTTCATGCTACAAGAGCCCGGCCCGGCCGAAACACCTCTGACCATATATTTGCCCTACGCCAGATTGTTAAGAAATCGTGGGAATTCGCCTCCGGAGAACATCTTGATTTAGACAAAGCCAATGACCGGATCGCGCACAAAAATCAACGGACATGCTTGGGAACATAGGGAATCGATGGTCAGTTGCTTCCGGCCATTAAATCACTATATGCTGATAGCAGGTGCTACATCAGCGTAAATCTTGTTAAGTCGAAGACTGTTAGCTTTAGCACTGGCCTCCGCCAAGGCTATGTTTTGTTCTTTCTCGTTTGTAAGTATGAGTGTATCAGTGTTGCAGATACGCAATCGAAAATATTCACGTTTGCAGACAACCTTGTTTTATTAGCATCTTCTGAAACTGATCTACAATGCTCCATAGAAAGGTTCGCAGCCGAGAGCGACGTGACAGGCATGCGTGTGAATGCATCTAAAATGAAAAGCCTAGTGCTTTCTCGTTG